TGTGACAGATAGAGGCACCTCGTATTTGAAGATTCCTCTCTCAAGCAAATCTCCTTTTATCTTTGTCCCTCAGGATTTATTCCCTCTGTTACACTCTGACTGCTCCGTCTCCAGAGAGCTCCACAGCATGGAATACAGCATTACCTGTTCTTTATGATCTTGGCTTGAACTCAGAAGAGTAAGAAAGATTTAAGAGCAGCCGTGCGAGGATGAGAGACAAGAACACGGTGCAAGTTTCCTACCTGTTTCAGGACTCCATTTAAGCTGCCTTCTCCTCCAACGGCTGGTTTCTCCCAAAGGAGATTTCTTCTCCTGTCCTGCTCTTCCAGATGGTAACTGCTTTACCTGCCTTCTGAATCATCTGCTGCAGGAGCCTCTCTCCTTTCTCTGACTCTACAGCACACCACGAGCAGTGACCAGCAATCCCTGGCTTGAGATTCCCACAAACAACTACTAAAGGGCCTGTGAAGAGTAAATGGAAAAACAGGTCTGTCATCTGCAGGCTTAAATCTACTGCTGTAGGATCCACATTGCCACTGGACATGTTTTTTTTTTACAGGGAGTTAACAGATCCAGAATAAAAGGTTGGAAAACACTGATGCAAATATGGGTTTCTCTAGGCAAAATCTTTGGGATTCCCTCCACTACCCTATGGAGTTGCATGGACCAGGTGGATTAGGGGTCACAGGCATTTCCCAAAATCTCTGTCTGCCTTTCGGGAGCCACCTGGACATTCTTCCAATGTGTGGGCACGTGGGCAGGGGCTGAGCAGCAGAGACGAGGTACATAAACTGCACATTGATTTGAGGGTAAAGGCCACAAAAGTTTTTCAATGTGTGCAAGAACCTTTCACTGCAAACTGCCTGCTGCCTGTGGATCAAGATGGACAACTCAAGCTCACAAAAATGGCGAAATGTTAATAAAGAGGGACCCACCTGTGCATTAATAAAACTGGTTGGAGCTGAGCATGGCAAAGGCAGACAGAGTTCTGTGGAACCGCGCTAAAGAATTTCAATCACAAATTGAAATGCCTCCTACTAACCAAAGTCCAGAGACTTCCCAGATCAGAGAGTAAGAACTGTATCTGCAGATATAAATAAAATCACCAATTTCCCACTTGCTTGCTGAGGTCCTGATTCAATGACCTTCACATGTACACTGCACTCCCTTGCACTGTCTCTTATCTTTACATTAATAAAAAAGTACCTCAAGTCTATTTACAGGTGGTCAAATGCCTTTTTCCTGACAGGCAATTTGAACAAGAAGAAGAAAAAAAAACACCAACTAAAAAAACCCCAGCATGGGACACAGCTCCTGCAGAGATCTTAACCCACAAACCGCCACCACTAAACAAACAAACACAAAACTAAAAAGAAAAGATCGTTAAGACCTACTGTACCTTTTAGGGGTTTTGTCTCTTTCCTGCAGACAACTCAGGGTCTTCCTTCTCCAGCAGCCAGCCTACACAGCTCTGGAATTCCTTGCTTCAGCTACATCCCTTAATAATTTAAGATGTTAGTTACCCCCTGCATGAGACAGTCACCCTTAAACCACCCTTCTTTACCTACTTCTACTTCCCTGTATTTCAGATTACACTTCAGACCAACACTATGCTATTAATAAACAGGGCTCCCTCACCCCTGAAGAATGTCTGAGTGGGGATAACTTTATCTTCATTATGACCATTCAAATATTGTCGATATCATATTTTTCCAGCCTAAAATTCAGTCATTGAGGAATTCACCTTTTCTACCATATATTACCGCTTTCCATCCACAGCAGGGGATGCTTACATTGGAAAGCTCGCCCTGGCTATTAATCCTTTCAGGAGTGAGAAAGCCTCCTTTATCTCATTTTATAATTTCTCCCCTTCCCTGCAAAAAACAAACCCATCACCCATAATCTTGCTTCAAACACATTACCTATTTCGCTATAGGCTGCTCTCTGCGGTTTAAACAACCTCAAGGTAATAAGGTTATTTAAAGTGAGCTTCTCCTCCCTTTGCACGCAATTCCCTTCACTGTTCATTCCCATCCAGCGTTACACACTAAGGAGCAGCATGAAGACCCCTGAGCCAACACAGACTGGAGCTGGGTCACTCCCCCGAAGGCAACGGAACTGCACGATGGTGTAACATCATCTGTAGTGTCTGCTGAGCATCCTTCCACAGGGATTGCAGGCTGGACATGGGAAGAAGGTTGACACTTTATGGCTGAGTTGCCACATAATAAGCTGGGACTCACAGCTGGGCTGCAGTAACCAGTATTTACATTAAACTTGTTCCTTGCAAGTATAAGGTAAAATTTAGCTTCAATATCTTCCCCTGCAGTTTATGCTAACGTCTCTTTGCACTTGCAGAAGGTTAAAAGCACGTGGTGAGTTGCTGTGGGTCAGCTGAGACATCCACCTCACCCTTCAGTAGCATTTTTCATACCCTAAAAGACATCCAAACCTACCTCAAAAACTCCTGCTCAAACACCACTGCAGGTGTTATTCTGCTCTGCTCATCCCACACCTCCTCCTCTCCGTGCACACATCCCTCCTATGGGCTTACTTCTGGCTTTTTTATCCATTTTCCTTCATGCTACTGTTAAACCTTGAATTAGCTCCTACACGACTTTAAACAACTCCTGTTCAAACACCACTGCAGGTGTTATTCTGCTCTGCTCATCCCACACCTCCTCCTCTCCGTGCACACATCCCTCCTAACTCCTGCTCAAACACCACTGCAGGTGTTATTCTGCTCTGCTCATCCCACACCTCCTCCTCTCCGTGCACACATCCCTCCTATGGGCTTACTTCTGGCTTTTTTATCCACTTTCCTTCGTGCTACTGTTAAACCTTGAATTAGCTCCTACACATCACATCCCAGTCCTAGTGCCACTTCTCCTACCTCTCTCTTCCCTTTTCCCTGGGCTGTCACCCTCAGCTTGCACTAGGCTTGCAGTAACTCAGCGGGGGGACCTATCGCTACCCAATTTCCATGTAAAATTAACGGAATGCTAAATACTAATTAATATTTCCATAGATATCCACAGGGAGTGATTCCCTCTGGTTTTCTGCTGTTAGCAGTCACAAGCACTTTGCTGACTCGTAGTTTCTTCCTACCTGGGCAGTTGCTGAAAAATTCTGTACTGGGATCAGGATTCCCTCTTTCCTCTTCTTTGCTAAAGGGCTCCCAGCTCCTGACCTACACTGGTACAAGCAAGCCACCTGTAATCAAAACACTAATATTACGCCTTCCTTCTCATTTTTTATCTCAAAGTTTTGCTTTGCCTTCTATTTTCCTGCGGAAGTGTTTGTGTGGCTTAACAGCAAAAGAAAGAAAATAAAATTAAAACCAGTAGTTTCACGAGAGACCAGACATCCATCCACCTACAGCCCTGACAGGAACTAATGGTGATTTGGTGATTTCTTGCAGACAAAAGAAAGGACCAACTAGAAACCCAGCAGAGGCACCTGTGAGGGGGTTCTCACCGATACTTTATGGCACAGTGGCTACAGCAGGGACAATGTGGTTCAAGCTCATTTAAGACCTTCATGATATTGAAGCCCAGAATCCAAAGCTTGGAAAAAGCATGAGCCAGGTGGTTCAACATCCTATGCTGGGCCCTTCTCTGCTCAGTGGAAGAGGATTATTGCTGTTCCAAACATCCTTCCTCAGACTGTTGCAGGTCTTGGTAGAGATAACTGTTGGGTTAGATACTGGCATGATTGAGTTGAGAGTTGTTTTTATCAGATTTGATTTTCCTCCTTCATTGTCAAGGCAAAGGTATGACTATTGAAAAAAGAATGACCATGAAGCAGAGGTGCCTTTTGAATTTACATACAGAATTAGCAAATTGTTTTGAACTTCTGGCATGTTTTATGTCAGGCATTGATGTGACAGAGCTCCCAGTGGTCTCCGTGTATCTACCTGAGGGTGGAAATCTACAGAGTGGTAAGAAAGTGGAGTATCTTTAAACTGTTACCTTCAGTCTATCTTTTAGCAAGTCTGTATTTAAAGACACAGGCATGTCCCAGAATCTAATTTGCACACAGAACAACCTCGTACCCCCGCACCCTCAAGATAAACAAATGGCTAAATTGAAATACTGAATATTGTAAGGCCTTGATCATTCAATTATTTTTTTCTCCAAGACTACCCTGCAGACCTTAGTGATTAACTACTTAAACGTACTCTTTCAGAAAACCAATTTCTTAGCTGCTAAGAAGTCAGAGTAAGATCCAGGATCATGGCAAAACACCACATCTGGTGTTTGTTTCAAAGACAGAGAGTTGCACAGGCATTTTTGCAGAACAAAACAAAAGCTGTTTTGTTTAGGAGGGAAAGTTGCTGTGCTGGTCTAACACTTGTCTTAACACGTGTCAGAAGAGGTTTCTATGTGTGTACATCACCTTTCCCACAGCTTGGATGGGTTACCCTTTTGAAGCTTGTACGGGCTGGAAATCTGAATAAATCCCTCAACTACATCAGACTGTAGAACGGTTTGGAAATAGTGAAGAAAACTTGACCAAATCCAATGTTAACATTACCTTCTGATTTTAAGCTCTTGAGCAAGAACCTTCCTTGTTTGCACAGTGCCTAGTTCAGCAGGGTCCTGTCATGACTAGGGGTCTTAAGTTCTACAGCAATACAAATAATAAATAAAAAATAATAATACTTAATATATGACGAATAATACCTACTTTATACCCTGTTTTTCAAAGACACACTGCACCCCAGCAAATACTTGAAAAATATGGTAACAAAGTTACCAAAAGTTGCAAGACAAATGCAATTTGTTTGATCCAAATATTTAACCTTAAGGTTCTAGAGGCTGGGAAACTCATTAATGGTGTTGCTTCACCAGCACCAAAAGGAACACAGACTGGAGAGATGAAACCAGTTCACCCACAGCCTTGGGGAGTCCAGCAGAAACTGGGAGGAAACATTTGTGTAGAAGCCGAGGCAGTGAATCCATGAACAGCTTCTCATCTCTACCATCTATTTTCATGCCTAAAGGGACTGCATATGGGAGGAGAACTCCAGTCTTGTGGGTTTGTTGTTTGGGCTTTTTTTTTTTTTGTGTGTTGGCCTTTTCATTTGGAAAAAAAATAAAAGGAAACAGATAAGAGAGACAAATCATAATGAAAGATTCCATATATCCCTTATGGCTATCTCATTTTTCCCAAATGACTGCTGCACGAAATTCAAAAAATTAAAGACTAGGATTTGAGACCAAAATTATAAATTAAAAAGGAGACATTTAAAAGAGAATTCCCTAAGGGTTTCATCCTTTCCCCACTTCACAGCAGGGAGAGCAAAAATACAATCCGAAAGAGGAGAGAAGAAGTCAGAGGGAATTAGAAAGTCCAGTCTTTCAGCCTGTCTCCCATTTTGCTAATTTTTACAGTAGGTTATTTAAGAAGCAGTAGATGTTCCGATAAAAAGCAGGCAGCAGCAAACACAGGCATCGTCTCCTCCTTCCAGCAAGGTCTGTGCAATCTCAGTCTCTTCTCCGGGAAGGAGAGGTTGTCCTTCCCACACGTGTTACTGCCTTCCAGTGTGGGAGAGGGGAGAAGCATCTGCCAGAGATCAGGGCCTGGCGTTTCGGGGGCTCCCCTCCCTCCGCGGGGCTAAAAGGAACTCAAGTATTCCAGTGCAACCTCGTATACAAATTTATATTGTTCCTGAAAGAGAGAACAGAAATCAGGGACATTAGGATACGGGTAAATTCTTCCGACCCTCATTCTAAAAGCTTCCAAAAATGCCTCCTCCCTCTTCCTTATACCGTTTGGCAGGACTGGGCAAACATTAACTGTATTTCTATGTGATCCTGAAGAAGCATTACTAAGAGATGGTATCATCAATGGAAGAGAAAAACACTAGAGAGTGTGGACTGTTCATTATTTGCTCATGTCCTCCTTGCACACATTGCTTCCAAGGAAGGCATCCAGCATGATCGATTGAGATGATTGAATGCAGGACACTTTAATCTCTTGCAGGGAGCAAGGCTGGGGTTGGGACCGTTCTGGTTTCAAGGCACATCACAGCATTAAGCACTGGTTGTAAACATGCACAAGAGGACAAATCCCATCCTTTCCCCACAGCCGGGGGGCAGCTACTTGGGTTTAACCTCCTGGAGGCAGCTGGGGGTGGAAGACACTACTGATCCCACTGCCAGGGCAGCTCTGCCCTCTCTGCTCAAGGAGAAAAGAGGTGGGACTGGAGGATCCATCTCACACGGTAAAACGGGACTGATTTTAATGCTGATGGCTTTATGTTATGATTCCTTTTGATTCATTCTGGGTCAAGCCATGAAATGGTTTTATGATCCTAAAGTCCCTCTGCATATGCTGGCTGGGGTAAGGCACAGGAAAAAAGCTTACCAGTGACTCCACCATGTTGGACTTGTTATTCCGTAATGTTTTCACTATGTGGAACACATCAATGATATTTTGCTGTTGAATCATTTCACACACACTGCAGATGGCACAGAAGGTGCCGCTGCGTCCCCCGCCGTTCCTGGGGACAGAATAAAAGAGGAAACACGTGAAGGTGGGAAGGGCTGAGGGAATGGAGAGGAGCAGGGGCTGACACAGCAGCTCATGCATCATAGTTTAGAATGGCTTAGGTTGGAAGGGACCTTAAAGATCATCCAGTTCCACCCCCTGCCCTTGGCAGGGACACCTCCCACCAGACCAGGTTGCTCCAAGCCCCATCCAACCTGGCCTTGAACCCCTCCAGGGATGGGGCAGCCACAGCTTCTCTGGGCCACCTGGGCCAGGCTCTCACCACCCTCACACCAAAGAAGTTCTTCCCCAGATCTCATCTCAATCTCCCCTCTTTCAGTTCAAAACCAACACCCCTCTTCCTATGGCTCCCCTCCCTGATCAGGAGTCCCTCTCTTGTCTGTGCTCCAGCCATGAGACCTACCTACCCATCAGAAAGCTGCAAAGCTTTTTCAGCTACTCCTCACTGCAACCAGTAAGATCTCTGGGCCAGGATGCTATAATGTAGCACCAATGTTCCACTTGAAGTGTATTACAAACATAATTTAACTTCATTTTCCCCAGCTGAAGCCTGGCAAACCACCAGATTTCCACATCCATCATCAGTGCTCTTCAGAAAGCATTTCATGAGGTCAGAGACATTTTCCAGCCCTACTTACAGGCAGTGGACAACAGTGCGTCCGTCTCTCCCATCGTACTGTTCCTGCCACTTCTCCAACCGTCTGACCACCTTGAGGAGGGAGCGTTTGGAAGGAGGGGTGTCCCTGTACGCTGGCCAGCCAATGTACTGCAGGTGCTGGACTATGCGATACCCGTCCTGAGGCTGAAACAAAGAGCATTCTCAAGATGTTAGAATCATCGAATCATAGAATGGTTAGGTTTGGAAGGGACCTCAAAGATCATCTAGTTCCAACCCCCCTGCCATGGGCAGGGACACCTCCCACCAGAGCAGGTTGCTCAAGGCCCCATCCAGCCTGGCCTTGAACCCCTCCAGGGATGGGGCATCCACAACCTCCCTGGGCAACCTGTTCCAGTGTCTCACCACCCTCAGAGTAAAAAATTTCTTCCTGAGATCTAATCGGAATCTTTTTTCTTCCAATTTAAAACCGTTTCCCCTTGTCCTATCATTACCCTTCCTGACAAAGAGTCCCTCCCCAGCTCTTCTATAGGCACCCTTCAGATATTGAAAGGCCGCTATAAGGTCTCCCCGGAGCCTCCTCTTCTCCAGGCTGAACAATCCCAGCTCCCTCAGCCTGTCTTCATAGGAGAGGTGCTCCATTAAGTGGAACGGGGCAGGAAGCAGAGAGATGGGGCAAAGTGGGGTGCACTGGTTACATGGTGTCATCCCCTCTGGATCTGTTACCATCAATGTTAACATCCTCCACTCTGGATACCTGATAGAGTAGGAAAAAAGGACTTCTTGGTAATCTGGGTAACAACGATGACCTCAGATATTACAGAGCCAGGCAGAAACGAGGTGCTTAGGAACCCTTGTTTTGAGTAGAGAATAAAGTCTTACCAAACTGTATGAATAGATCAAACACGTCTTTCCTGGAGGTTAGTTGTGCCATGAGAAATAGAGGCAAAGAAGGCCCTCAAAAAAATCTGTGGGGACTGTGGCAGGGTCCTCATCAAGATTTGAGCAGCAGCCATTGGTGTTGAACACAGATGGGTGCAATAGAACTGAGAGTTCATGGCACCCATCCTGCCAGCTACGTGTTTAGGAGCTGGCTTCAGCCTGAGAGTCACAGAACCTTAGTTCTACCAGTTACAGGACTCCAAGGCTGTCCCTGGTTCAAAGGTGGGCAGCCTGGGACACAGGAAGGTGAATATCTAACTGATTTATCAGTTTGTGTCGTCGGACCACAAGGTCCACTCTTCAACGTCTCGACTAACGGCTGCACAGGCTCTGACCACACAGGGACTGATGTGTCAAACAGCATGGAAATGTAATTTGTGGAGCCCGCTCCCATTTCTGATTAGAAAAAGTGAAAAAGGAACAAAAAAGGAGGCATCATCAATCTGGGAAACAACTAATGAGGGAAAAATCCTCTGCTGAAACCCTTCCCTGCAGCCCTGCAGCTGCATCGCTGGGGTCCAGTGTGCAGATAAACTTTGTTTCTATAATTTCGGCTGTCCTGGGGCCGAGGGACACAGACAAAGAGTTGCTTTCAGGAATGGCAGCTGCTTATTTATAGGAAAAACAGCGGCAATTGGGAATCCCAGTCTAGCCAGTAAACGTTGCATCTGTCTTCAGAGACACCGCAGAGTAGCTGACAGATGGAGAGCCGCTGACACTACCCCAGTTTATTTCCTACAATATTGATGGTTTTGTATTGGCTACTAAGTGATTAATTGTTCTCAAATATACACAGAAAAATGCATTCCATTTAAATACAGATTTTCAACTCGTATCATCCACTTTCTAATTTCAGCCAAGAATCTTTTACCAATACAGACTGCTGCAATTAAATGTTAATTAAAGGAAGTAGCTACTAAATTCGGCAGTGGAATTTTTTTTCTTAGGTGAGAGATTTGGCAGCTCTAAACCACCAGCCTTGGTTCTGCCTCTTCCTCATGTTAAAATATATTTTTGAGAATAAACAGGGAATCTGGTACTTCCCTAATCTTACCCTGGCCATGTTGCAGATCCGGAATATCCGGTTGATGATATCTTCATCGATGTCTGCTGAAACAAACTCTACTTGAATTGGCCCATAACAGCAGGATGTCTTCTCTGGCCAGTACTGCATGCAGAGCTGGAGAAAACACCGAAAGAAACAGAAAGCATCTTAATATTAACACAGTAACACATGTTCTACTTGCCTCATCTTTCGAATTTATAACCAGCTCAAAATCCATAACTAATCTTGCATTACATGTATTTGCTCAGAGAACACCTCCTTCTAGCTCATTAAAAGTTTTTTATATATGAATGTGATAAATGTGAGGCAAAAAATATACATATTTTAGAAGATCAACTTTCCCCTTCTTTTTTTTTTTTATGAACACAATTTGTAACTGATTGAATTCTGGGGTCTACAGATGCAGAAAAGGTGGCGGACAAACAGAGCTTCTGTAGGGGTATAGATTTAAAATTAACATTAAAAGACTAGTGTCTGTAGGTAAATTTAATAGGAATCACAGAGGTTTGGTGTTAAAGAGGGAACAGGACACACAGCAACAAAAATGAATCTTAATTCAAGGAAAGTGGAACTTCTTTTTTCTGTAAGATGGCCATTTTAGCCTCCTGACTCTACCAGTGAGGGAGAATGAATTTGCTCTGAGAGCAAGGAGAGCAACTCTCATTTCAGGGGGAACCACAACTGAATTTCTGAAATTTGCGAAGCAGGTTGGAAGCCTTTTTTCTTATGCTGATATATTTCTGAATTGAAAGTACAAAAAAAAAAATCCTTTCCACACAAATTACAATCTAAGTATTTCAAATCCATCTGGAAATAGATCATGGCAAGAAAATATTTTGCATGAGATCTCATTAGCAGTTTCTGCTGAGATTGTATTTCTTTTTTTTTTTTCTTCCTATTTTCAAGTGTAATTTTTTAGAAGTTTTGAAACCCCCAGATGCTCATTTGAACTTGATCTCAAGCTTTTCAAGTTCAATCACTGCCAGTAATAACGTCAAGTGTGTGCATGCCACTGCATTAATTCTGTATTCCTGTTATTCCTTTGATCATAGGGGATTGAAATTGGGTGGGATATTCATGCAATCTTGTGCATCTTTGCCCTTGTTAGTTTTTCAAGATTAAGCCAGCCAAGACCACATAAGCAAGTCCTCCTTTGAAGGTTGTCTTTACCCTTCATTCAGACTTTCAAGCAGCCTATAGATCTCTTCTCAAAGCACCTGTCCAATAGGCAAGGAGATCTGAGCTGAGCAGGTGCTTTAGGAAACAACCTCAAAGTGCATTGGAAAGAAGAAAAAGATTAAACCTTCCCTTAATAGTAAAAATCTGCGTTTCATAAAGCACTGAATGGCCATCTACCCAAATGTATATGCATATACAGTCCTTAAAATGGTCTGTTACATTCTCTGACGTCCACATGGTTTTATTTGCACTTTTTTCCTGCGTAGTGGATTAAAGATTCACTTAGCTATTAATTTTAACTCTTTTCCTCTCTACACTTCAGGCACAGCTTTTATATAAGATATTTTTTCTATTTGTGTTCCACTCACAGAGATGAGTAACATGCCCTGCTCATGCAAACAAACCTGGTAGCTGTACACTGCCAGTTCTGTAGAGATACGGTACCGCGCTTGGATTCAGTGATGATGAACAGTTGGAGAATCACAACATCATCATACAAGGACAGTTGATATGGTACCATGCTTGGATTCAGTGATGATGAACAGTTAGAGAATCACAACATCATCATACAAGGACAGTGCAAGCACAACATCGTTAGGTTTCCTTTTAAGAAACCTCACTTTCCCAACTGATATCAAACCATCACACCTTGCCTTGAAAGCTCTTAAGAAACACACTTTAAAATCATCCTTAACTTCCAGTGATGGTTTTGGCATTGGCTGGAGGTAGGTGACACCATACTAGAATAAATGAGAAACGGCTTTACATGTTGCTAAATCTCCTTTTCTGTGCCTACAGACTATTCCATAAAAACGTAACTTTTCTAGGGAAAAAACCAAAGCAGATAAAGTCTTGTGTAGAAAGACAGTCACAAGAATACCACTGGCTGAGGCTGATAAGTTTGTGTTTTCCAAGAACGAAGCACAAGAAAGCGTGTAATTTCCAGAAAAAGCTGTGTTTTTCTTTGAAGTGTCAGAAAAAAAGGCAAAGATGCAATCTGCCTCTCGATTTGATGCCAAGATACAGACTCAGGCTCAGACAGGAGGCAGCAAGTCTCTTTGAAGTGTCAGAAAAAAAAGGCAAAGATGCAATCCGCCTCTCGATTTGATGCCAAGATGCAGACTCAGGCTCAGACAGGAGGCAGCAAGTGCCCCAGGATCTTTGGTTCTTCACAGAGTGGTGGGACTCCATGGGTCACCAAGAGATCCCACTTCTGGGCAGAGCTCCTGCTGGGGCTGGAATGAAATCCCACAGGGCTCACCCTGAAGGGAGATCCCCTCGATGACTGGGGCGACTGGAGTCTCCATTACCATCAAATAAAGAGACCAATAATCTCACTGCCTTCAAGTGTGGTAAGATTTTTGAAGATAGAGATGAGACAAATGAAAAATTAATCTGTGAAGTACCAACTACTTGAGGGTTCCTCTCCTCTTGTTTAACAAGTGCTGTAATGGGTGAATTAGCCATGCCAAATGTACTCTTCACACAAATTGCATGATTATGCCTTTTTGAAAGCTGTTATCTTCTGCCACTCCATCAGCAAGGTGGCTGGAAATGCTACTACAGGAGGAACTGTAGCTGTTCCTCCCCCTGGCAAGCTCAACTCCTGAAAATAATGGTGTGTTTAGTAGCCAAGAAACCAACCTGCACATGATATTAGAAATTAAAAAACAAACAAAAAAAAAAACAACAAAAAAAACCCAACAAAAACCATGCTTCTCCAGAAGCTGTGCAAACACACTCCTCAGTATTACAGAATTGCATTGGAAATCTCAGGGAAAAGATCTTTTGAATGATTTCAGCATCTCACTTGTTTTATTCTCCTGGAAATGCCACATGAACAGGCAGCCGTGAAGCCCACTAAGGCTGTGGTAGGGAACACTGTTCTGAGCTAAAGATAAAAATAAGAAAGGGAAGAAAGCAGGTCTGGGAGGAAGATTCAGGTTTACGAACGCAATGTATTTAGATATCTAATCCCTGCTAATTGCAGGACGAATTAGCTGCCTTAGAAGGAGGTAAGCATGTGGACTTATCTTTCATTATACCCTAAAACATTACCAATTACTTTCCAGTTCCCCTTTTTATTGGGGTGGGGATGGGGGCACATGAAAATGGCAGCAGAAAGGCTCTTAAACCCATCTGGATTTGAGAAGAGACGTACATGACAGAACTGATGAAAAATCACTTACTTGCGCCGCATCCATCTCATTCAGCATCACGACCGAGGAGCAGTTATAATCAAACACCAGCCTCCAGAAGTCTGCTATGGTGTTGGGCAAAGGGTGTTGGGTTACAATAAAGGCAGCAGGTTGCTTGTGGCTCTAACAAAAGAATAAGATTAGTTAAAAAAAAAAAAAAAAATTTCAATCAACTTTTATTCAAACGAATATTATACCCGGGAGGCTATGGCGAGGCAATCTGAGCCATTTAACCAGATTATACAAATCACATATCCTTCTCCTTGTTATCGCTCTACAATGAATGAATGTCTCATAATGGGATTCTTTTGCTCCCAATGAAGACATTTCATTAAAGAAGTGTCACAAGAGCAGAGATTACCCAAATCAATTATTTATATTTTGAGACTCAGCAAATAATACTAATTCTACTATTACTACTACTAGTACTATCAGTAATATTAATAATTGGAAAGAAAACAGCTGGAAGCAAATGCTCTCCTTTTTGCTGCAACAGACTCAGGAACTACAGAAGGGATTAGCCCCCCCGTCTGCCGTTGCTCCCTGGTGATGTAGTGCTGCAGAGGTGGCACATCTGGACCCCAGCCATCCTTTAAGAGCTCATGGGGCAATATTCAGAGCCTGTGACACTGGCATTTAATTTTTTATGCTATTCTTTCACCTCAAAAAAGCCTTCTAACCTCAACCTCCCTCCACGAAGGGGAGGAACTGTGCCCCCAGCCTCTGTGGGGCTGTGTTAATGAATGTTCGCGAGGCCCTTTGAGATGAAAGGCTACGAGCTCAAAACTTTATCGCTTTCCAACTGTGGCAGGCAAAGCTTAGCTGAGCCTACAAACTGCACAGTCCTTTGGGCTGTACATCTGTGAGGCAGGCTTGGATCAAAAGGCATGGCATTTCTGGGTTAAAAAAACCCAAACAACATTAAGATTTTGGATTTGAAGTAAAGAAATAAATAAAACCCCAAGTATTGAACATTAGGAAAGAATTTTTCACCGAAAGAGTGATAGGGCATTGGAACAGGCTGCCCAGGGAGGGGGTGGAGTCACCATCCCTGGATGTGTTTAAGGGCCGTTTAGATGCAGTGCTGAGGGACATGGTGTAGGGGAGGACTTTGTAGAGTAGGGGAGATGGTTGGACTCGATGATCCCAAGGGTCTCTTCCAACCTCAATGATTCTATGATTCTGTGATTCTATTCAGATGGTCGTGGTGGGAGCTTGCCTTTTTTTCTCCATACAAGGTGGATGTGGGTGGAAGTGCTGAGCAGACCATGGTGGGATGGGGAGAAGGTGCTGTGCACGTTCCACACCAGCACCGTGCTTCTGAGTGTGCAGGTGAGGAGGGTGATGGGATGTGGAGCAGGAAGAAGGAAAAGGAAATGATTTCTTGGGAAATTATCAATCTGGAATGAATTCTTCTCTTTCTCCCTGCTCTGTATTTCAAACCTAGGAGCACCAGTATGGGTCAAAAGTAGTTGTACCAGACCAACAGTGGCAACAGAGTGGTAAATAAAACAGTGAATCTTATGTTTTAATTAGAGTTAACCTCATCATAACGTTTCTGCTATGTTTTTTCATTGTGCACGATACAGCAAACTCTGTAATTGGCGACGCTGCTGCCTGAAGGTAAGATGTGTTTGTGGGTTTTGATATTAGGAGAAAAAAGAAGCATTCCCCACCTGTTTGCTACAGGGGAGGAATCAGGTTCACTGTTGTATTTTAAAGGGAAGGTGACACAGAGATGTTAATTATGTCAGAGAACACAGGGAACAATGACAACAGGGACATTACGTAATTTGCCTTAAATACAAACCTATCACACTTATGTATGGCTTGACTCAGAGAAGTGGGAAAGACTCTTTGCTTAAGGATTATGTTCAATTGTTTTAGGGGAAGGAGAGGGACAGTATTTCTCCTTTCTTCTTAACAAACCATTCTGAAGACACCAACATGGGTTTCCAAAGATTCTCATCAGAACAATCCTAAGGTCTGGGCAGAGGACATGTAAAGGAAAGGTCTTGAGATCTGCTGGGGGAGAATTCCTCCCCCCGTGGGCAACACCAGTGCTTTGGCTGTATTCCCAAAACTCAAGGCAGAAGTGGCTGGTTTTTATGCTCCAAAGCCAACAGACTGGTCCTCAAGAATATGGTTTAGTGGTGGTTTTTTTTTAATTGCTTATTTCTTATTTATTTTTTTGTCAGAGTTAGGTCGATGGTTGGACCAGATGATCTTTAAGGTCCCTTCCAACCTAGACGATTCTATGATTCTATGACTGGAACAGTCTCCAGGATAGTTTTAGCCAGGAACCCAGACTGAGTGCTTTACCCCGAGGGAGGGTTCAAGTGGTGTTTTGTGTCTCAGGTTAATTTTGGTGGACACAACCCAAAACAGCCTGCCAGATTGCCTTCCTGGGACAATTCACGCTTCCAACCCCAGGCTGTAACCCGTTCCAGGTAAACCATCATCCCTTCCTGCTCTGCCACTTCTTCCACCATAGCTTTCATGTAATACAAAGGACAAGCTGCAAGTCAAATAAGGTCTGGGGAGAAGTTTAAAAAAAAGATCATATGAGAAATTGGTAAGGTAGAGGCAGACAAAACAGTCAGCACTGGGACTGTGCTGTCAGATGTTCCCCAGCATGTGCCTGCCTTCACACAATTAAAGAACTAACAGGAGTTCAAGGCAATATGGGATGGATGATCTTCTGTAAGAGTCCATGCTCGGTACTAGACTGCAGACATGAAGCTATGAAAACGTGGGATTTTGGCTGTTCCCCTCTGATTTTTATTTTCTTTTTTTCAAAAGCTGCTGATTCCTCTATGGAAGGATAAAGCAGAGCCAGCGAACACCAGAGTGGCTGAATTTCAATGACAGGTGAAAAATTCCTTTGTAGAAAAAAGTTTAATTTGCAGGAATTTCGTGGGGAAGGATACAAGTATCAGCAAATTGATTTGAGGTAATGAGGACTGAAATGTGCAAACACATTCCCAGTCCCTAGGAAACCAGGGAAGAATAGATTGTGCTTCTGAAGATTTGCCAAAGCATGAAACACACTTTAAAGAAAAAAAAAAAAAGTTTCCTTAGGCATATTTGCAGTGGAAACATCACAACCTTTCAGAAAAAAATCTAAAATTAATTCTATGACCATTTGACTTAACCTCTTAAATGCAGCAGTATCACTGCTTCCCAAAGACTGAAAGAACAGACAAAATTTAAGAAGACCAACCCCAACATTGCTGGGGAAAAAATGATGACATTTCACCCTGGATCATATTTACACATACTCCAACTGCAATTAATAGTGGCTTTAAAGACATCTCTGCCCAAAGGCAGACAGGCACCACATCAGAAAGAAACCATCAACATAATTCACCCTATAGAAATGACCTGTGCTGTGAGATTCTAGCCTATAAACAAAGCAAGGGAAAATGCCTTCAGACAGATTCACATCAGCTTAACTCAATGTCCTTCGGCCCTACAGTGTTTTGCACATCTGATCCCTGTACTCCCATATTAACTGCATAAGCTCAAATAAATCACTCCCTCCGTGCTGCAAACCACTCTTTTCAAAGAGCTGACCTGGCAAACATTTCTCTTTCAACTTATAGGACAACCAATGTATGGGAAGAGCTGTCCCACCACTTTGTCCATCTACCTTTCTATGACACAGCCTCAGCCTGCACACTCATCAACTCCTTTCTCAAAGATTTTCCACCAACGTGAGGCAGAACTACAACTGGAGTGTGATAACCACAGTCTAGGTGACACGTTTGGGTGAAGGAGAGAAAATCCATCTGCCTGTGCCCAGTTGGGAGACGTCAGACCCAGAAACCACAAACAAAGTTCCTTTTCTCCCAGGATAATATCTTGAGAACAAATAAACTGGACGCAGACCAGGACCAGTGAGGACAGGGCAGTGCTTACATCCATGAGTGCAGCATTGATGTAGTTACTCGATTCACCATCCACGGAGATGAGGAAAGGCAGGCACCGGTCCAAGGGCAACACATCCATGCAGCGGTTCTTGTCATGGTTCCTTGGCAAAAGGCCGATGCTGCAATCTTCTGGTCGCACGCGCGGCGTCACAATATTGAGAGTCTGCAAAAGGGGGAGGGGGGAAAAAGGGAAAGACAGAGAGAAGCAGGCTGAGTGTCTCTGAATTTGCTTCCAAGAAGGATGCCATCTGCACAATACATTTATTTTAAAGGTACTCAGACTAGCAGATCTTTGGGATCACAGAGAATGAAAAAGAAGGAGCATGAGGAGCTGCTTGCTGTTACAATACATGGCATTTTGCACGTTGTCCAAACACTGTAAACTCCAGCATAAACTGAGAGCACTACACGTCTACGAACAACTTCCAGCTCTAAAACCCCACAGCAGGTAGATAACATTTCTGTTCTTTCCTAGAGGTTGGAAACAGCTGTCTCAGGTTCAAGTTGCAGCCTTAACCTGGTCATGGAGTGAAACCTCCCCGTGTTCCTGTCACTTCTGGGGTGGAAGAACACATCCTTCTCCTTCCTGAAGTGGATCATGTGCAGGAGTGCTCTGAGTGTGGACCTGGCTCACCCCGCAGGTCAGATGAGGTTCAAATCCTCCAGTGATTCCTCAGTCAAACTAGTGGTTTATCTTAATAATGTATATAAAAACCTAAGAGAATATGTGGGGTTTTTTAAACCGGAAAGTCAATGTATTTCATACATTATTTAGACTGCTACTTTCCTTTTGGAGTGACACATAGGATGCTTCACTTCCATAGTCATAGCTTATCTCTGGGGTCTTGCTGTCAGTCCTATACCGTTATCCATATTTCCCACTGCTTGACAGACTCTGCTTCTTTAAATCTAATTTTCTTTTGTGTAATCCATTGTGGAGCCCTCCTGACAAACCAGTCCGGGTTGGTCAGTGGGGATCAAAAATAGCAAATCAAAGTGAATGCATCATAACACTGTCACTTAAGTCGTGGTAGATGTCACTCTACTTTCCCTTGTTATGTGTCCTCTTCCTGAACAAAGCCCGTGCAGTCACACATTGAACTCCTTTCCAGCCATCAGAGGAACACAAAACATTTCGGGGCCAAAAATTCTTACAAAGAGCCTGACTTCTGCTAGACAGGCTATGAATGGAGAAAAGAGGAGTCTCAAGCTATCCAAGATAAAGGAAGGTGTCCAAGTACAAAATTTGAAGTAAGGCAGCTGCTCTGGATTATGCAGGTTCTACATGAAAAGTCCCTTTGTCTAAAGATGGAAAGCAGATAGCCTGGCTGGGGAAGCAACATGAAATCTCAGATCTCTGACAGTACAGATAATTAGGCAGGTGACTTGTTAGTAACTTAGTCCTGTCTATTTTATGGCCTTCCCCTCTCTCCCCTGCTTTTGTACTTATTCAGATTACAAAATCTCTCCAGAACGAGCTTTTGCACGTTCAGGCAACATATAGTGCATGAGAAATACATCCAAACCTCACCTGAGGGCCAGTGGGACCTAAATAATACAAATTGCACCAACAGATCTACAGTTAGATCAACTGGCTCATAAAGACTGCAGCAAAAGATACCATCTTTTGCATTAAATCCAGACAAAAAGGGCTGAAGAACGCTCTGAGCCAAAATCCTGTAAAAATAGATTCTACAAGCAGACAGAGAAGGAACCTCTTATGCAAAGTACGACGGAGCATTCCCTCCCACAGGAGTTGCCAGCCCCTGGCAGCTCAAAAGAACAAGCACACGGGCGACAAATCGCGTCTCATCTCATGACAAAATAAGCTCAGCAAGTGATGACTTTTTTTTTTATAAATAGCATAACAGCATTTGATGAAGTTAGGCTTTGGCTCCTTCGTGCCAAGTGTCCAGAACCAGAAACGCTTTTACAGATCTGATATTGCTTGATAAAAACAGATCTTTTTTTTAATTGAACTGTCATCAGTTGGGATCCACATTCTTTATCTCACTATCCCAACCCTGATGATTCCCTGTAAGGTTTCAGATAAAAACACACGTTCTCCCTTCGCATAGAGGGGGAGGAAAAGAGGCATCTGACTCAGACTGGGGTTCTGAAAAGACATTTTCGTGCTGCAAAAGACACTTTGCTGGGCAAGGGGGTGGGCATTTCCTACAATTAAAGGAATCTCCACCTCTCTACTGCTGACTAAGAATGGTCTCCTGAAAAATAGCAGAGGTCTCTCTCTCTTTCCCATCTAACTCATCTTGCCCAGATTTCCCACAGTATTATGTCTTTCCGCACATCAGTGTTAGCTGAAAATCCTCAAGGAATTTACAGGTACACGGGGAATAAGACTGGAAAACTTAGTTCACCGTTCTGCAGGGTGAATTCTCTACAGTGGGAGAGGTCCAGCTTCACAGGGCTCATGGCTCGTGTGTCTCCAGCCCATTTATTAGGGTGGGACAAGCAATGGTGACAGCAGAAGGTGGAGTGGTCCTCATTTCACCCCTAGCAAATGGTGGTACACTAGCCCTTCTGAGTTTTATTATTTGTCATTTTAGTTCTCACCACCAGTTACTTGGTACAAAGTACATACTGAACTGAGGGATTCAGTTCATTGAAAATTAGAAATAGAGAAAGTAAAGCTCACTTTCTCCTATTGTATGGAAGGACGTCAACAAGTTGATTGTTAAGACTCAGAATCAGCATATGAGCCACGAGAAAAGATAAAAAGAGACCTTGAGGCATAAATGTTTCTGCATAAATTACAGGAGAAAATTAACAGCAGAATATTTGTTGAAATGAGAAGTACAACATTATATGTGAAAATTAGTACCCTTGCTCTACTGAAGTAATGGGGAATTTTTTCCTTGCCGAAGGCTGATAAGTCCAAGATTAAAAACAAATCTCTGCTTGATTCAGTAGTAAAAAACAAAAATCAGCTGAAATCAGACCTTGGCTCAGTGTCCCCCCTTCTCTGCTCTGTTGGAAATCGTAAAACAACACACAGCAATTGATTAAACACCTTCACTACACCAACTGCAATGACTGAGACACATGAAATTACCTGAAACTCATCTTTTATCTGGCTGGAATTGGTCTGTGGATCTAGTCTGCTGATGTTGTAATATATGGATCTGAACTCACAAACTGGAATGGCTGTGTTGCCACAGAGACATGCCTCCAAAATGGCATCATGGACAAATACATACTGCTCCTGCAGAGGGAAGAGAATAAGATATTAAAATCATATTTTTAATACAGTTCATGAAGTATCACTGTTTTGTTTTTCTTAAATCATGCCCAATATACATATTTGGCTCTGTTTCATGTGGAGACAAATTACAGAGTGTGTTATGTGACAGCTTTGTGAGCATATTTCATCCATCACTGAACGTGAGGTCTCATGTATTCATTTCAGATTTACAAGTAAAATGGGAAGTCACCACTCTCAGGAACGCTGGGACAAAGAGGGGGTAGGCAGAGGAGGAAATCAGGGAGTAAAGCTTTTCTGTTCACCATCACGAGGTGATGGTCAGGGATGGATTGTGCTTTGGACCTGTGATAACACCAGCAGAAACAACTGTACTAACAGTTCATCCGTCTTCAAAACCCCTGGACTCCCAGTATTCCAGGTAAAGTTTTTCCTCTGAACTAAATATGAGAAGTCCAACAAAGCTAAAAGCTCTTCTCTGCCCCAGGCTCTTGTCCTGTCCCTCAGGAGGGGAAGGCCCTGAAGCCCATAGGAAGAAGTTTTGTAGCAGGATAATGGTTCCACAGAAGTTTGTGCAGCTGCCAGACTCTACGCGACGGAGCAGCTTGCTTAATCAGCACCCAGTCCTTTAATCAAGGATCTTTCATTTGTTTAGCTCCCAACTGACATAAACTAGGTACTATTCGAGTCTGCAGCACATCTATGCACGAGTCATGAGAGGATTCTTCAGGAGCTGGCTTTTTTCTGCCACGAGAATAAAATTAATCAGCAATGCTAAGACCTGAACTTCAAGGTCTGCCCTCCTGTCTTGGAGGCCCCGAGAAGCCGCCAGTGGATGTGATTCGGTGCACATCTGGGCATGTTTAGCCACCGAAAAGTTCTGTATAATCACTTCACAGAGGAAGCAAGCGTGGACTTAATGAATCGCTGGGCTCCCGTGGAGCAGAGGAGCTGACAGGGAAGCAGCACGTGGTTAAGAAGAGACCTGCTGGCACCTACCTCTGTCTGCACCAGATTGACCCTTTGGGATCGCAGCTCTCGCACGCAGTTAAATATATCTACCACGCCTTCGTTCTCTGCCATGTCAAGCATGATGTCGATGGCAATAAAGCACCCTGTTCTCCCGGCCCCAGCACTGAAAAAAGGAAAAAAAACAACAATGAGGGTCTGCATGATTAAGGGACCGTGGAGGGGCAGGGCTTTACAGAGGAGAAAAGAGCTGTATCACAGACACAGGTGTCTTCTCTTGGAAGCTGCTCCCCTCTCCTCAATGGGGTGATTTTTGTATGTAGCTCAATTAGCTTAGGATTTAAAAGAATAGGGTAAAATAATATTACTTGAAAGGGAGCCAGGTAGCAGGAATAAAAGCACTGTGTTCTTGAACATCAATAAAAAAAATTAGAAAAATAATCATTATGTTTTTACAGGCCGGTTCACCTGCACACCTCCCATCACACAGGACATGGGAGAGGAGAGCAGCCTCCAGGTCACAAATAGACACAATTCCAGCAGTTTTCTTCCATGGGACTCTTTAAAAGGCAGGCACATGTTTACTCAAGTGGGCGTGATGAAAGAGGCTCAGTCCTCCACCTCAAACATTTTTTTTTCCCTTTTTAATCTGGAGGAGTTTGGGTCCCGAGGAGAGTGATTTCAAGTTGTGGATTGTAAAATTATAGAGAAAGGAGCTCAAGGCTACTCAAAACCTTCAGTTTAGAGCCCCCCGCTGCTCGTGAGAATTGGACCATCTCCTGCAAAACTGTGTTGTCACTGTGTCCTCCTTCCCTCCTGGGAAATCATCCAAGCTGTTTAGGTGTGAAGGATAGAGAGGAGAACGTCTCTTCACATTACTCCAAAGGAAGAAGGAAAACTCAGCTCAAATCAGGGAAACTTCAGTGGCACGAAAACTCCAGCAGAGCCGAAAGCAAGGAGATATGAATGACCATAAATTAATGGACCAGATTAATCAACTGCTGAATAGAGAGAAGATATTTTTCATTTGCAGAATTTTAATGAATAAGTGGCATTTCCTCTCCCTTTATCTCTCAGCTTTTCAGAATTTTAACAAATAGTTATAACATTTCTATATTTAGAGGATCCTGGCACTTCATAAATATCGAACAGTGATATTATCCAGCCAGGCATCGGTAGGGAGAATTTGGTAATTACCACTTAAAGCAAGTCATTAAAATTCAAAAGCAGATAAATAACAGAGAGGAAATGGCATTTATTCATTAAAATGTGAAGGATGAAAAATTTCTCCTTGCTTTCTTGGTGACAATGAATCAGGTTGAGACTCCCTCCAGGGCCAGACCCGTGTCATGGCACCAAGGAAGCAAATTCAGGCCCTGAGCTCTGAATGAACTCCCTTCTGCCAGCTCCTCAGGTTTACCTCTATTTTATTATAAAACGGATTCATTGCTTGCTAAAAAAACCCAACAAAAGAAAACAAACCCCCCAACCCAAAACTATTTAAAAAATAGAAGATTTAATTGATTTTTCCCTTTCAAAGTAGTGTTGGAATGTATTCTCTCTCTCTTACTCATCACACAGAGTGGCACTTAGAGGTAATTGCCTGCCGATTGATTAGGGGTGAGATTTTGGGACAGCCAGCTCCGCTCTCCAGCCACATCTCCTTTACAGAACCCATGCCCTGAGCACCCCAAAATCAGCTGCTACAAAGCCAAACTCTGGTTTTGTAGCAACGTCCTTCCTTGCATTTGAAGCCACCTAACTCTGATGCCAGTCTGTGTGTGTCTGCTCTCCCAGCACCAGCAGCATACCTGCTCACACCCCAAAAAAAAGGCTTTTTATGGCTGGGACACTCTGCTACATATCCACATAGTGCCCTGCAGAGCGGGGCTTTCAGCTCAGCTGGAAGAAAGCAGTGCAGAAGAGCCCTCACCAGTAACAGCAGCCACTGGGGAGTTGAGCAAGCCTCAAAATTCAAGTCTGAATTTTCCCAGCTGTAAACCAAGCAGCAAGGTTTCTTCAGGCTTTCCTCTTCTACTTACCAGCTGAAAGGCACTGGGCAGGTTTTCAGCCTGACGTTCCCCTTCCAGCTCCTGGGCTTTGAGGAGGCCAAGATGCCCAATGGTTGGCATCCAGGCCCCGGAAGGCAGGCTAACGTTTCAGATAAGACTATTGAGGCTGGAATAAAGCTGGACTGCAGTGCATGTGGGCACAGAAAAGCAAAGTTGCTTTAAAATTCCCTGTCTTTTTGTAGGCATTGTCCCTTCTGCCACGTGAGGTTTGCTGTAGATAATGACTGGGATGGTTGTCCCAGATATTTTCCATTTTCCCAGCTCTGCTATGAGCATCTAAGAGAGTATAGGCCACCAGAGAGTCTTCTACATTCGAATGGCCCTCTCTGACCTACTTATATCATCTCCAATTCATGCCAGCTAAGCTCCAGAGCTGCCACTTTAGAAAAGAAAACCAAATTCCACTTTGTTTCCTCGTGAAGCCTACAAATCGTACTCTCAAGCAAACAAAACGTAGTTGGTTATTGCCAGAGAAGGGAAAAAAAAAAAAAAAAAAAAAAAAAAGCTGAAAAAGATGGGGGGGGAGAGGCTCAGACAAAGGGGGGGCAGTTTCTTCAGGCTTTCCTCTTCTACTTACCAGCTGAAAGGCACTGGGCAGGTTTTCAGCCTGACGTTCCCCTTCCAGCTCCTGGGCTTTGAGGAGGCCAAGATGCCCAATGGTTGGCATCCAGGCCCCGGAAGGCAGGCTAACGTTTCAGATAAGACTATTGAGGCTGGAATAAAGCTGGACTGCAGTGCATGTGGGCACAGAAAAGCAAAGTTGCTTTAAAATTCCCTGTCTTTTTGTAGGCATTGTCCCTTCTGCCACGTGAGGTTTGCTGTAGATAATGACTGGGATGGTTGTCCCAGATATTTTCCATTTTCCCAGCTCTGCTATGAGCATCTAAGAGAGTATAGGCCACCAGAGAGTCTTCTACATTCGAATGGCCCTCTCTGACCTACTTATATCATCTCCAATTCATGCCAGCTAAGCTCCAGAGCTGCCACTTTAGAAAAGAAAACCAAATTCCACTTTGTTTCCTCGTGAAGCCTACAAATCGTACTCTCAAGCAAACAAAACGTAGTTGGTTATTGCCAGAGAAGGGAAAAAAAAAAAAAAAAAAGAAAAAAAGCTGAAAAAGCTGGTGGAGGAGAGGCTCAGACCAAGAGGTGGCATACCTGCAGTGCACAACGATGGGTCCTGCTTCTGGGGGATTGAGAAACTTCACTTGGCGAACGAAGCCCAGGAGGCCCGTGGCATAGCAAGGGACCCCATGGTCCGGCCAGCTGGTGAAGTGGAACTGCCGAATCTCTCGGATCTCATGGTAGCCTTTCTGAGGAGACAAAAAAGCCTCTATTTTTCTTCCATCAGACTGCAATCAGCATATTCCCATCACGGCTCCCTTCCCTCTCGCTGAACAAGCACTCAGCTCTCATTATAGGCAGGAACGTGGCCCGCACCGCTTTTACTCCCAGCGATTTCAAGCTGAGCTCCAAGGACAAACCAAGTGGGTGACACACGACTGAGGACTATGAAGGTGAACGCCAGCTCCCAATCCAAACCTGTTATCTTAGAGTTCAAACCCAGCTGAGGTGGAACTTTACAGGGTGATTTCAGCCCCAGCATACCATGGCTGCATTTACCCAGCCTCCTCTGAGGGGCCATAAACCCCCAAGAAGTCACTCTTAAATCTTTTTTGAGGTGTTGAAGGAACAGCCTGGGGAATGAACACCCAGAGAGTGGGCATGCCCCAGGGATGGCAGATTTTCCGCCATCTCTTGTCAAAAAATCTCAGTTTGAGGTTACAGCTGGTGACAAAAAGGGCAGAAACTGGTACCCAGACCCATCACTTGGCTTTTCTGGCGAGATCGAGTTATTGGTACATGAAAATTGACCCCAACTGTATATGCCCTGCAAAGGGTAACACAAAAACATCAGTTGGCTGTGACATTTTATTGTACATGAAATGTAGGTGGAATCCAGCAGCAGGTCCTCTAACCTGCCAGATTTTGGCACTCGCATTTCTTACCAAGTTTTTAGTGATTTAATGAAATATGGAGCTGATGTATTAGAAAACTGGAGCAATATTCCCAGTGTGGCTGAAGTTTATTTAGCAGGAATTTTTGAGAAGCTTTAAAAACACTTACTGAGTGTTTGCAGAGTAATTTGGACAGACCTGGAAGACGCTAACACTTAGACTTCCAATTTCTAATTACACGTAACAAAAATCTTCCAAATCCTGCCAATTTGGGGATAATTTTTACACTCTCGCCTTTATTATATTTTTATTTCTGTTGAAAGGGGACCCTACCTGGCATCCAGTTTAACTGATACCTTTTGTCATCTGTAATTTGCCAGAGTGAAACACGACAGTTATTATTCCTGGCACACCATCAACTATCTGCTGGCTTTTGGATGCATTTAAACTTCATGCACTGTGGATTCTACTTCTGTGGCTACATCAAGATGTTAATTTAAAATCATTTGTCCAAAATTGGAATCACTGTCAAAAATTCAGGTTTCTGAAGTGAAACCTGTCCAAACAGTAACAGCTCCCATCTCCAAAAGCATTCTGGATATACTTCCCAGAGTGCACATTTCTGAATACAAATTAAGTGTTGTATCTAAATCTCAGCTGATTGAAGATTTCCTTACCTTTTGTACAGTAAAAGTGCGTATGACATACTCTGCCAATGGTTCTGTCTCAATTAATGTGACTTTAATGTCTCCATAGACCTCTGTGTCATCTGGCCAGTATCGAACACACTTTACCTGGGGGGAAAATAGAAAACATTGAGAGGAACTAGCTCAAGCTGAGTCAGAGCTGACCTACATTTTACTCCACTTTCAAGCTGAAGCCAACACAAATTGGGCTTTCTTCTGATGTTCAGACCCTGTCAAAATTAACTGTATAAATTAGATCAAAATTCCTTTACCACATACAGAAACCACAGGGAGGATTTTTTTTTCAGTTTCCTCTGTTGTGAATACAAATTAAGAGGACACATTAAACTCTCCTTCTTTAAGAAAGGCTTCCTTAAATTTCCATGCATGCCCTGACCATACATCAGGCTTACAGAACACCTGGTAGTCACCAGCACCATCCCCTCTGAGAAAAGTCCATGCTCTTCCTATTGCTACTGTGATTCTGAACTCTCTCTGCTCAGCCAGAGAATTTCAGTTCACTGGGATTGCGAGATACTTGCTGATACATTAAATATGTTTGACTCTAAGCTTTCCTTATCAGATGTGGACACAAATTTTACATTTTACCAGCTGTGACAGGCCTCAATTAAGGCTTAAGAAAGAAATCTCCTGATCACGTAAATATATCCCGAGCTTAGCCACTTCTAGAAGCCATGTGCAAAACTAACAGTAGAAATTAAAGCCCAGGCTGTGAAGCTCTAGAAGGGTTATTTAGGCTAACAAAGACTATCAAGTTATTAAATGCTCTAGCATGAAAGAGTGGAACAGCATCTAAAAGCTGAAGCAATTAGCTACTGCGAAGAAGGTTTCATGTTCCAGCTCCAGTCATAATCGGAAAGGGTTTTATAAATATTAAATATGATTAATGTAGGTTTGTTGTTCTGTTGTTTTTTTTCAGAGGGAGGCATTTATTTCAAACAGAAGTGTCAGTAAAAGGTAAAATAGAATAAATAACAATAAATGAACAAAATCAGCTGGCATTCAACCATGAGATCTAAAGGAAATGAAATACAAAGCAGCTGAATTACTAATGGCTGTGAGTAAACTGTAATTTAAATTTTTCTTAGTACCAGAGCAATGTAAGGTGACAAACACCAGGACAAAATTTTTAAGAGCTCCAGTTTCTGGCTGAGAATGTCTCTAAGCCAAAGACCAGCAGGAGTGGGAAGAATATGCTGTGGAAAGCCACCCCAGACATGCCTTTTTCTTGTTCTCTAAGGTCTAACCTACGCCTTTTGACTTATTCACGTTTGCTCCCATCATAGGCTTTGGCAATTGCCTTGTGCTGGCACAGGCACTTCTGGTTCATCAGAGCCTGAGAGCACGAAGCAGTGGTTGTTGAGATGCCCAGTGTTGCTGGTGCCCCCGGGATCCAGCTGTTCACAATCTCAAACCACCATGGAACAGTCATCTTCTGACACGATTAGAAACTCTAGACTTTGAACAGTCATTTACAGAGCTCTTTTGATAGTTTGAACACCAGTTGCACGTTCTCGCCCCTCTGGATTTTTGTGGGTATTATACAAAATTATTATCAAATTATACAGATAAAGAATAATTATTACAGAAGTACATTCTTCCTTCTGTACTGAAAAAGGAGACAGCTTCTCAGCTGGCATAAATTTGCGTAACTCTGCTAAAGCCGAGACTTACACCAGGAACAAGATCCTTATTAGTCTAGAAGGGAAGTAGCTAAGTATTACAAAACGTAGCATTTTAGAGGAAAACCTGGGGTGGCTTAATTCAGTCCCTCACTACAGTAAGTAAAAGGCATTTCCCTTTCTGAGCCTGCTGTGTAAGACCCAGCGCTGGTTTGGCTTTAGATGTTGGGGAAGCGGTACCCTTACCCTGCCCACTTCCACCAAGTTGGTGACCATGACAACACTTGCAGAGTTTTCTTGCCAAATCATTCTCCAGAAATCCTTCACTGTCTCTTGCATCGGCCCTGGGGCAGGAGAAAAGACAAAAGGACATCTTAAGAGAGCATATGGAATGCCAACAATCCTTTTCAGCTGTTTCTCAGCCATTGCCCTGTTCCCACAGGATCCTACCCTCCCTTCCGGAGCATCCCTCTGCCATTTGGGGTTACAGGGCACACAACAGCCTGGGGCACTTTAAAAGAACTTCCTCGCAGGGGTTATTTAAGGTTCTAGCATGCTGGAAACAGAGGTGGTGGTTGTATTGTAAATAGTGGAGATGGCTCCAGTAGGTAATCATGTATAAGTAATGGGACGTGGATGCACCCTATAGTGAGCCTGTAATTAAAGCTGTATTGAAATTTGTACTTGATGCAGCACTAAAATTCCTCCATTTCACAGTATATTTATTCATTACGAAGGCAGAAAGAAACATGTAGAATTTAGCCTTTTTCTGAAGATCCCCCAGAGAGAAAAATTTCAGATTCCAACAGCCAGTACTCACAAGGGGTTTATTAGACCAGAATCTCTCTTTGACCTTGTTTCCTTCCTCTCTTCTCCCATGGACTCCCACTTTAAAAGAACTTCCTCGCAGGGGTTATTTAAGGTTCTAGCATGCTGGAAACAGAGGTGGTGGTTGTATTGTAAATAGTGGAGATGGCTCCAGTAGGTAATCATGTATAAGTAATGGGACGTGGATGCACCCTATAGTGAGCCTGTAATTAAAGCTGTATTGAAATTTGTACTTGATGCAGCACTAAAATTCCTCCATTTCACAGTATATTTATTCATTACGAAGGCAGAAAGAAACATGTAGAATTTAGCCTTTTTCTGAAGATCCCCCAGAGAGAAAAATTTCAGATTCCAACAGCCAGTACTCACAAGGGGTTTATTAGACCAGAATCTCTCTTTGACCTTGTTTCCTTCCTCTCTTCTCCCATGGACTCCTTTCACCCACTCTGCCCATCCTCCATCCTCCCTGTTCTCTGCCTTACTGCATTCCCTATTCCCATAGATCCTCAAATGCCAGTTTTATTCTAAGTTAGTTTCTTACTCTTTCAATAGGGACAAGCCAGGAATGAAGTCATAAAGCAAAATTTAAGAATAGAGTCATTTCTGTGAACGTCACTTTTGCAGGTAAGGAAGATACAAAAATGAGGAAAAATAAAGGTAAGGGAAGTGGTCATGACATAAAATTTTGGCCAGTTATGCAGAAATAGAGCACCCTGTGGTAAAGAACAGGAGTGAAGAGGTTTGTCATCCAACATGGAGAGCCCTCAGCATTTAATTGTGTTGGGGTTTTCTTCTTTTTTTTTTTTTTCCCTAAAGACATGGGAAACTCATTAACTCACTTACAGAAGGTGGTGTTCAAATGCATTTCCTACTAGTTCCTGCTAACCAAAAGTTCATCAGTCACGGGCTTACTCCTCCTAAAGGCATGGGAAACTCATTAACTCACTTACAGAAGGTGGTGTTCAAATGCATTTCCTACTAGTTCCTGCTAACCAAAAGTTCATCAGTCACGGGCTTACTCCTACTGCCCTCCCCAAGCAATTTCACTCCAGAAGTTAAACCCAAGCTCTGTCAAGTCTCTTTTAGTTCTAATCTCATACTTCAAGCACAACAGACACATTATAGATTGTACTGCTGCCTCTAAGTCTGTAGCACTTGACCTTTTTTCCTTCCTCTCTGTTTCCTTCCTCTCTTCTCCCATGGACTCCTTTCACCCACTCTGCCCATCCTCCATCCTCCCTGTTCTCTGCCTTACTGCATTCCCTATTCCCATAGATCCTCAAATGCCAGTTTTATTCTAAGTTAGTTTCTTACTCTTTCAATAGGGACAAGCCAGGAATGAAGTCATAAAGCAAAATTTAAGAATAGAGCCATTTCTGTGAATGCCACTTTTGCAGGTAAGGAAGATACAAAAATGAGGAAAAATAAAGGTAAGGGAAGTGGTCATGACATAAAATTTTGGCCAGTTATGCAGAAATAGAGCACCCTGTGGTAAAGAACAGGAGTGAAGAGGTTTGTCATCCAACATGGAGAGCCCTCAGCATTTAATTGTGTTGGGGTTTTCTTCTTTTTTTTTTCTCCTAAAGGCATGGGAAACTCATTAACTCACTTACAGAAGGTGGTGTTCAAATGCATTTCCTACTAGTTCCTGCTAACCAAAAGTTCATCAGTCACGGGCTTACACATACTGCCCTCCCCAAGCAATTTTACTCCAGAAGTTAAACCCAAGCTCTGTAAAGTCTCTTTTAGTTCTAATCTCATACTTCAAGCACAACAGACACATTATAGATTGTACTGCTGCCTCTAAGTCTGTAGCATTTTTTATTCCTGTAGCTGAGGTTTTGTGTTTGAGTGCCTTAGAGACCTTGGAACATCCCATTTCCTTCCCTTTTGTGCCCCTGTACCACATTTTCAGACGTTCCCCAAAATAGAAGATGTCACCCTATAAATAGCTCTTACAGCAGTTTAAAACAGCAGCAGTTTTACAAATATTTAGACATACAAGAATGGACTTGCCTTGAGTTGCGATGTAATGGCGAGGCCGGTGGTATCCCTGGAAAAAAAAGAAAATCTGTGTAAATCTGGAGATGACAGTTCAGACAAAGCACAGCAGCATCTATTTCATACTGTCCAGGTGCCAACAACCACCACACGCTTAACTGTGTGGACTAACCCTGGTTATTGAACGAGTGAAGATAGACAATGAGGTTGCCCTGTGATATTTTAAGTGATAGTATCTTGCTCAGGCTGAATAGTAAGATCTCATTACCCCAAAGAGAAAACAGGAATGGGGCAGTTTTCACTATTCCCTCGAAGAAACACAAGTCCTCTGACTACCCTGTGGGCAACTCTGAAAATAGGCAAAGTTGCCCCTTCTTGTTTGAAAAAAGAAGAAGAGTGCGCATTTGCCTCTGTATGAAAATCCTGTGTATCAGTCTTAGGTAATTAGGTGTATTTTTCATCCCTTAAAGAAACTCTTCTGAATGTTGTCGTGTTCCTAAGAATTAGGAGTTGCACACAAGAAACACGTGTTCATGTGATCATTCTGCCTGTGCAAGGGAGGCGGCTTTTTGAATGTTATTTTACAAGACTAAAAAAAATAATAGGTCAATCTATTGAACACGCCTTATGCACTGCAACTTTGGGAGAAGTCGATAAGTCTCAGATACCCACTAATGCCACTGCAAAGGGCTGATATCACTGTCTGCATACGTCACTCAGCCCACAGCCCACATCTGCTGGTGGATCTGTCAAGCACAGGAAATCTCCGTCTGCCCGGATCGGTCAGACAGAATAAACTGGAGACCGAGAACCTTCTCCCTGTCACAACACGACGTTTGTATAATGCTCAGCTGTCATTCATATCAGATCAACAGTCTGTCCCTACGTAGGATGCTCTGAGTCCCTGAGCAGAGCTGTCAGGGAGCGTTTGGCAGAGTGGGAACGGCCAGGAGCCTTACGTCGATGTAATTGGCGTTGATGTAGTCAGAGTGAGGGTCCCCATCCAGCAGCTGCAATCTCACTCTTGAATGATCATCTGAAAGAAGGAAAGAAGAAAAAGTGACAGTAACGATAAAGAGGACTTTGTAAGTGCTTCATTTTATCTGCTGGTTCCTGCAAATGCGTCATTCAATACTTACAATAGTAAAAATATGGAAGAGTATCAGATATATTCCTGTTCCTACACACCCTTTCTTTTAAGATGTAATTTTTAGATCCTTAGGTTAGTATTCATCCATACTCTGCGTTCATTAAATTTACTGCTGTCATAACCTTCATAGAGCTTCTACACAGACCACAAACATTGCTCGATTTGGGGGTCTCAGGACAGCTCTTTGGAGGACGTATCTCCATCTTCAAGCCATCTTCATGCTTGGAAGTAACAGCCTCCCTGGCTTCACCTGGTCTATGGAAACTGAGGCAAGAGCTAAAACTGGCAAGATCAGGATTAAAATAAATAGGTCACGATAGAGGTATAAAAGATTAAGGAGGGTAAAATGGCAAATGAAATCCTGAAAGTAAGAAATGGGGCAACTCAGAAACCTGAAAGGATATTCCAAAGGGATTCGGAGCAACCCACAGAACTCACGGCAACAAAACGGTGCCAAGGCAGCTTTAAAAAAATAAATTGGAAACGTTCATGTTTTTGAGGACGTTCAAAGTTACTTTAGATAAGGCAATAAAATAACAGCTATCAATCTTTCCATCTCCCGGCACGCTCTGCAGTTCAGCCGCAGAAAGGCACCACCCCGGCGGGCAGATTATGTCATGATTTTTCCACCAAGGGACTATTTTGATCTTTCTCCAGAACAGCTGGTGCTGGGCTCTGTCAAAGGAGATACTGGGGGAGCTGGGCTGTGGAGCTGATCTGGCCTGGCAACCCCAGCTCTGGTGTGCAATTAATTGCAGAACTGCTCTCTAAGGGCCAGTCGCTCGGCAAAGGCCACCGGGTCACAGCGGTCACTGCTGGGCGTGCTGGGCTCATTTCTAAAGGATTTTTTAAAGACGTATAATATAGAGTCCATTAAGTTTATTTCCTCTCTGCCAGCTCTGGAGACCCTAGCTCTCTGTCAGCAAAGCATTAATGTTTAGAAGCACTTTGCAAAATACAGTCCTAAGCATGATTTGCATTCAATTAAAAAGAATCAGAGCAACGAAACATATAAATACGAGGTGTGATTCTGCAGTAACTCAGTGAAAAAATAGGTTTAGTTAGCCCTTAATTAAATTCAGAATCAGATAATAATTGTGAAGACAGATGTGCGTGCAGTTCTGAAAACCAAGATTTGGATATATATTAAATATTCATTTGGTTGTGTAAAGCAATGATTCTTATGCTCCGTTCACTCTTTGGGTGAGATTTCCAAACCCAAAAAATACAACCACTTTGCTGTATTTATCAAATCCCGTATTTGAATTAAAAAAAAAAAAAAGGTTAAGTAGGTGAATCCTGCAAAAGCTCTGTTATATTTGTATTAATAAATAAAACCTTTGTAGACGCAGTGGAAATTGGTGTATTTCTCAGAGTGCTGATGCTGTTCCCAACTCCAGACAATTACCTGCGCTCAAGGCAACCGCACCAGGAGTTGCAGTAAATCATGTGGTTAGACAGGCAACAAAAGAATTTATACTTGGAGCAATCCACCAGGATAGACAAAAAGCTGATTAAACCGGACATCTAGATGAAACACTCAACATCTCCCGTAGACAACTTCACACTTGCAATTCAAGGCAGCGAGCTAAGCTCGTTAAGAATCACACAGAACAAAAGCAAAGAAAAAAAACAACCCCGGAGCAAACAGTTGGGAAGGGAACATTGACTAACTCCTCCTGTGATGCCATGATATAATGTTATGGAAGTCTTAACTTAACTGCAACAATAGAACCAAAAAGTGCCAAGACCAAAAATGACCCTGCTGACAGGTGAAAAGCATCTCGGGTTGATTTTTCAAGACCCTGCCTACACACGGTGTGTAGCTGGAGTGCTCTCCACAGCCCTCAAGGAAGAACCTGCCTCTATTCATTTAGTAGAACGAAACCCCCAAATTAAGTTTCACTTCTTTGAGTCACTCCTGAGTTAAAAACTTAAAACAGACAGGATGGAGCTGGGAGCACCAGATGTGAGGGATCTGAGAAGCAGACTGCAGAAGAGGTCTGTGCATTTAAGACAATTATAGATAAAGAAAAGAGGTTCTTTAACTGTAAAAAGTGTAGTTAGTTGTTGGTTTTTTTCCCTTTAAACCAAATATGGTCATTCTACCTATGAAAACCAGTAAAGAATGACAAAATTGTTATTGGAAAGGAATGATATTTTTATAAAGGGAGACATTCAGGTTTAGGTCCAATTACATTTTGGGACCAAATGGAAAATACTTTTAGCTGGACTTTACTTTGGGAGGAGAGAATTCAAAATATTTCACTGCACATTTTACAAGAGTGAGATTAACTCCTGTGGGAGATTTATTTTTCTTGGAAGTGTCAACAGTGCAGCAGGAAAAAAATAATCTGTATCAGATAAACACAAAAAATATTAATGACGTCTTACTGGTGTCTTTAATCTTGTTCATAAGTTTAGGAGCACAGTCTGGATAAAAGTTTGTGAAATAACTTACCTTGTAAATACCCCTTTTTTCCCAAAAAACTTTGGAATTTGGCTTTTATTTAATTGAGGGGGGCAAAAAACCCATTGCAACTTATTATGCTATTAGCAGTAATAAGCTTGTACTTAGTTTTTTTTCATCTGCAGACCTTTAAGTGCTTTTTGAAGAACAGAAAATGTCTTCATTACATCTTCTCCCAATGCTTAGAATTCACTCCTGATTCTGCACCCTATCCACTGGACTGCTCTACCAAAAGAGATTGCATATTTGGCACACTGAAACGAAAGTGGGGTTCAACTCTTCTGTACATTTATCAGGCATCATATCACTGTGTGTTACAGATGGACTAGAGGAAATTTCAAGTTAGAATTTACTCCTGATTCTGTACCCTATGCACTGGACTGGCACACTGAAATGAAAGCGGGACTCAACTCCTCTGTACATTTATCAGGCATCATATCACTATGTGTTACAGATGGACTAGAGGAAATTTCAAAAATGGAGGGGAAAACAGAAAAAAAATTGCATGTCTTTAACACCCAGGACTACAAAAAAATGGAAAAGAAACAGAAAAAAATGGCATGTTTTTAACACCCAGGACTACAAAAAAATGGAAATATACTTTAAGAAATGTACAAAATTATTATATTTCTCCCTGTTTACTATAGTCCGTATGCAAGTTAGCAGAACTCTAAATCTGTATGAAGAGTACTTTGACTGAAAATTGGTCTTAAAACAGATTTCAAAAATGACAAGAATTTCACTGAAAAGCATTGTGCTCCCATTTTAGCACAAAAATGTTATCATTTCAAACTTCTGTCAAAATTCCCATTAGTGATCATTTGAAATATCATTGCAATTTTTCCACATCTCATTTTGACACCAGCACTGGATTAATCTCGCACAACTTTCGCCATCTAAATATTACGCAGCTAGTCTAAACTGGCTGTCAAGGTTCCCCACATCGCCAATGGAGAAATACAGCCATCTTTTGAAATTATTCAACCCAGTTCTGGCACAAAGGGATGATCTGCCCTCTCAAGGACACGCTGTCCTCCCCTTGATGCTGGACTGTGCCTTGGGACCTGGGTAACAGCAAGGTGTGATATATCTTCTCAGGATCACATACCAGGACGTTGCACAGACAAGCAAGAGTTCAGGAACTCTTGAAGAAAACATGGAATAAACCATCCCAGAAGAAACCATGGAATAAAAATGCTTGGAAGATTAAAGACTTCTATTCTAAATCCAATACTGACATATGGGTTGGGTTTTTTTGTGCGTTATCCCTGTCCATGGCCAAGAATTGCACTCCACCTGCGTTTCAGCCGAGAGCTCTGTTAATCTCTCTCTGTTCATCTCTTCCACCACAAAATTCTCTGATTCATTCACAGTCTTCCAGCTCAAAGCATACGGCAAGTCAGAATATGAAGGAAATGAAGCAAATTTCTCTACTGTCTTTTGCCATCAACTCAATAGTTTTTAGGGAGCATCACAAGACTTCAAACCCATGGTGCCTAAGTGGGAAGATGGTAGAGCTGCACTGCAGATGGGAGGATGGGTGTGAAGTGGGAATGGTATGAGCACCCCTGTGAGTGCTGACCTCCTTCTATAAATATTATGGTCAGTAAAATGAGAAAAGAAAGTGAAAGAAAGTGCTCTCCTGTAAGTGGAAGCAAAACACAATCTGATGCCTTCATTTCCTCAGCTCTTATCTGAGAGTTTTCACTCCTATACATCATGACTAAACTTGGAGAAGATGGGGAGAAACAGAGCAGAACCAACAGAACCCATACAGTTTCTGGATGTTTTCTCTGCTGCATAACGGGTTCAACTCAACCCACAAAAGCTCAGCATCCCTCCCCTAACAACCACTTGCTGATGCACATTGAAGGTCTCAATATCTAGGCTCTAAAACAAATTTACAAGATTTTGCTTCAGCATGTAGATGGATGCATTATCTACCCTTGCCCCTGAAAGAAAAGTCCTGCATTTCCACAGCTGTCTTTGTTTACTGCTTTTATCCCCAAAGTGCAGGATCAAAGCTCGTGGGCTCTGCCAACATCACAAAAGTTTGAGTAGGGCAGCTCCCTCCAGCACAGCAAAACAGTGCAATTACTGTGCCTCCTTCCACCATCAACACTGGATTTCTATGGTCATACAGACCACTCCTCAGCTTTCCTTGTCTCTAAAAAAAAACCCCATACCAGTGTCACAGAATGAAGGGAACCCTAAAAAGCTTGAGGCTTAAAGCTTGGGAGAGCTTAGAGCTCTCTTGCATCTCCTTTCCACAAATACATTAGACTCATCCGGAGTTTTGCTTTACAAATGTAAGAAGAGCAGATGTTGGGGCTGGCAGTAAGACCTAGGTTTTCATAGAAAGGCACAATGTTAATACAGCCCTGGGAAAGCAGTGGGCCGAGTAAAACAGTCCTGTAAGTGTACTATTACCCAGAAGGCCATAAAGACAAGATCTAATCTGCTGTGATTCACTGAGCAATGCTACTTATTGCCAGAGCTTACAATCCCACGTTTTAACAAAAGTCTCTGAAGCAGTTACAAAAGTTAGATCAAAACCTGACTTTTCAATTCACTCCCCAAAAGGCATGTGATATCTTCTTCCAGGAGTGATGAAATGACAACTGTAGTTAAATACATAACGGTAAATGCCATCTGCAGCCTTTTACCAAATAAACCAGTACGAGCAATCAGTGCATTCTCTGGGTTTTACCAGCAATTACAATTCTAGCACAACAAAGCAGCTGAGGGTGTAATCGTTTCCCCCCTCCCCTGCTCAGCTCAGGCTTTGGCACAGTTTGCCCCCAGTGAGCTCAACTCTCATGATCTGCCCCATGGCAACTGCTCTGCTGCTATTCCCAGCTCTGCTACCAATTCTCTATTCCAGATACTGGCGCTGCTTTTTGCCAGGAAAAGTTGCCCAATGTCACCCGTCGGCAGGGTCTGGCTCAAGGCTTGGCCAGTGACACCACTGGTAACTTCCCACTGGTTTTACAAAACGTCTGATGAACGATACGCCCCTTCCTACGGCACCCTCCCTTCCTTCTCCCCAGCCTCTTCAAACTGAAGCAAAGATTCCACTTCATTTTACTTTATCGCACTTGATTGCATGTCACTAAATCCTCCTTGCTGTCTTTCTGAAGAGCTGTTGTCTCCTCCTCAAACTCTTTGTTTCACATATCTTGGAAGCAAAGAAAACCCACTCAACTACGTTATTTACCTTCAACTCTTCTGTATCCTTTCTCTCTTTTACTACCTTGCTATCCTTATCTAGGCCTTTCTGCCTTCTCAAACTCATCCTAAACTTTTCCCAACAGCCCTCAAACTGGAGCTTCTTTTCTGATGTTTTATACTCTGCAGACACTTCTTCCTTAGCTGTGATTACCTTTTGCATTCTCTTATTCAAGCGCATCACCTCCTATCTGCAATGCTACTGTATTTATATTTATAGCTAAAAGGCTAACATCATTCTTCGTTAGACAACAATTAATCTCTGTGAATGCCCTCCCTTTAGATAATACCTCATTTATCTTCCTCGATTTTGCTTCCTTAATTTCTGCTCACATTTCACTTGGAGGTTCAACGTTTTCTTTGTGACCACCTTCAACATAAATCAGATGGTGGCTACTGCACACAGTCCTGTCTCTTTTCACCTCCACTTTTAAATTATGTCAACTGCTTCCTCAAAATCATACAGAAAACCAAAGTGTCTTTAATGTTTCCTTCTGTATATCGTACTATGGCGCTTTCACCTTCAATCCAACGTGTAGTTGTTATAACTGGGCGATTCATCTGTCTTAGACTAATTTAATTTAAGCTAATCATACAGACAGGTAAATTGAACCTCTGTCTGAAGGTATCTCTCTTTGCCACTAGGAACACGGGAAACTTACAGCAAGGTGGAGCTTTTAGACAGCTGAAATTATGGGAGATGATTTTCATGCTGTAATATTCCAGCACAATCACTTCCATTTTCCCCATGGAGTAAGACAGACCAATGGAACTGGTGACCTGCTCACAACCAACACAGAAATCCAGCTGCAGAGCTGGGATCAGATCAGGGCTCAAAAGTGTCTGATCTCCATTTTCAGATTTCTTCACCTTTACCTGGGGGTCCCTGAACCGAGCTGTTCTGTGCCATTCCCTGAAATCTTACATGAATCATTTCTTTCAAGTCTTAAAAGAAAGAGAGGAGAAGTTAAGATATGCGTGAGATGATCTTTCTTCATGGCCAAGTTTTTTGTGCTTTTTTTCTTCTTCTTTAATTCTGTTTTTCTAGAAGAAATACATATTTAACCTGAGAAAAAACCAAAGTACTGAGTACAAAACTCAACGTGACTCAATTTTTCTTGTATAGCATTCCATAGATTTATCCAGTCATGAAAATCTATGGCACATTCCTTTGTATTCTTATTTCTTGTTCTGATGCTCTCAGGCTTGGCTTCTCCAACTTGATGCTGCTCAGCAGCCCTTAATGATTTCTCTCACCTCCTCTCCCCAGTCATTAAAAGAATAATGAAACACTGGGGTAAGCTGCCTGGAGAGCTTGTGGAAAGCTCAGCTTTGGAGATCGTTAGGAAGAGGCTTCACAAATACCTGATAAAAATGACAGAGGTGAATCTAGTCCTGACTTGGAGAATAAAGTTGACCTAAATGGTTTTATGGAGTCCTTCACCACCCTGCAGTTCTGCGATGTATCAATATTCCTATAACATCAACAGTAACTGGTTATTGAAAGAAGAAAAACTAAGAAGCTTCAGTGCATTTGCAGCTGCTTTACCGTGATTCTGAGGCAGAAACTAACCTTGTCCCACACATCAAACCAGCTCTCTGGGGACAAGCAGCGACTGCTCCATCAGTTACTGACCACAAGGAAGGAGAAAACCTGATCTCAGATCCATATCTAAACATCTGATCTGCCCGCATTTCCTTTTGTGCTCTCATTTATGGAACTGAAAGCTCTGGGCTATGTAGTAAAAATGGACAGAAAATGGGCACCCTCACCCACTGCAAAAATCTGATGAGGCTTTAGCCCGTAAATTACAACCATTAAGCACAATGTGACGTAGATAGAAAATTGTAAAAAACCATCAAGTCATGCAATGGCTTGATGTAAAAAAATGAAAAACCAGAAAATTAAAAAAAAAGAATCATAGAAACATAGCCTGTAACAAACAGATTGAACTACTGAATGCTCAGCCCTGTAAATAGTGAGATTCTCAAACATACGCTTTTCCACAGGATGCTTATAAAATCTTACAGAAAGCCCAGTTTAATGTGAATTTAGACCTACAGGAGATTATGTTTCCATATCTGTTCTTATTGCGGTTTTCGTCCTCCTTGGCTGTATCCCAGGATGCCGTCTGCCCCTCGGGGAGTGCCTGCAAAATAAACAATAGCAGAGCGTTTATAAAAATCTGGCCAATGCCTTCAGGTGGATTAAGATGACTGAGCAGGGCAAAAATCAAGGCGCTGCATAATTCAGGAGCCAACCAAGCAAACAGCTGCTCTTGAGGGAAGGGCATATCCACGAACGCAAACAGCAGAGCTTGGTGCAGACCATTTGCATCCCTTGGCTTCTGCCAGCGAAGAATCGTTTTCCTCCTGTTACTTGAGATCTAAAAGGATCAGGAGAATTTGTTTCTGGCTGCACAGTCACAGGTTAACCTCATTTCCCTGTAGAACAGGGTTTGTGGAGATTTCACACACATACACTTCTAAGAAAAACCCAGATGGCTGAAAGCTAGCGCTCAGGCTTTCGGATTTAAGTTGAAAACAGATACCGTGGTTTCACCTATTTCTGTATTAGTGATGGGGCGATGCAATATAAACCAGCAGCTGGTTTCCTTTGGGGGGGGGGGGGGGGG